AAGTTCAATTTTACAACACCAAAGTTAATTTTTACAACGTCAAAGTTAATCTTGACAAAGTCAATATTTCCCTATATATACAGCAAGGAGCACTGACGATGATTCATTCGGAATCGAAATATGGCCTTATTTGCAGCATGAATTCGAAACATAAGTTTATTTTGAATTTTAATAAACTAAACGTTCACCAAAAAACTTTAGTGAGAAAAATCGAAAAAACGAACTACAAACATAAATATTGTAAATATATATATATATATATGTGTGTGTGTGTGTGTGTGGTGGGTGTGTGTATTTTGTATGCTTTTTTCCACGACAATTTCATTTGCTCATTTATTGCCTGGGTTGTATAGGCTATATTAGCATATATCTTTCGATGTTTTAATTACTTAATAAATAATATAGAAATAATAATAATGATAATAATAATATTTATTATTATTATTAGTTTTATTATTATTGTTCTTATTGTTATTGCATAATAATAATTATTATTTGTATTTCTCGTGTTATTGGAGGTGGTTTATTGAGTTAAATAATTTTGAATCTCAATTTTTTCCTATGGACAAATTTTAATATAAATAATAATAATAATTATTATTATTATTATTGCTACGAATAAAAATAATTATAAATAGAGTAGTTTTGCACTTTTTTGTCTCAATAATAAAAATAATAAACAGTTTACAGGACCAAAACATTCAGCGTCTAGATGCAATAACAAAAACTGAATAGAAATACATATATAAATAATTAAAATAATAATTATATTAAAAAAAAAAACAATAAAATGAGAATAAAAGTGTTGGTAATGATGAAATAAATTTATGTCTGACGACGAACATCAAGTCACTAACGAGAAATTAATTAAAGAAGTATATACTTACTACATTTAAAAAAGTACATAAATAGACATGCATTGTATTGTATTGTATTGTATTGTATTGTATTGTATTGTATGATATTTCATTGCACTGTATGTTGGATACAGTTTTGTATTGTATGTGTGTATTGTATGTATTATGTGAATGTATGTATTGAATGTAGGTATGCTTTTATGTATGTATGTATGCATTGTATGTATGTTTGTGTGCATGTTTGCATGTACGTATGTATGCATGTATGTATTTATGTTAGTATATATGGTTTAAAGTTTGTATAGCCGGTAGGCTAAATACATTGAACAATAAATTATGAAATAAATGTATCAAAATATTTAATACTTTATACATAACCATTCAAATGAAAAAAAAAACAATATTTAATAGTTAAAAAAGAGGAAAAAAAAGCGGATAATATAAACATTTTTTAAGCAAACAATAATGTACATATATAACAAATAATAACAATAATACTTCGATGTTGTTATTATTTATTTATTTTTTATTATTCTTGTTTTAATCAAATTGTAAATACGTGTGTATTACATAAATGTTAGATCTTTGCGAATATGATAGTACAATTATGCAGTAAACCAATGAAAAACTTTCTTTTTTAGGCTTTTTAATTATCTCTCTCTCTCTCCTCTCCTCTCTCTCTCTACACTCTCTCTCTCTCTCTCTCTCTCTCTCTCCTCTCTCTTTCTTTCCCTGAATATACAGTTAAACATGCAAAAAAACAAACGAACAAATACACAAATATGTTCACATTCAATCAACCCATTAATTATTATTATTAATGTTATTGTCGTTGATATCGTCATCGTCTTCGTCATCGTCGTCATCGTAGCCAACGTTAACGCCATCAAATCCTTCGTCGTCATCGGTCACGTGATAAATGTCGTCAGAATCTACGTCACTACTCTGGCTTTCGCTGACGTCATCGTCATTATCATTGTGATGGGCTTCATCGTCGTCGTCGTCGTCATCACCTAAAACGGCGTCATCGTCGTTATCGTCAACGTCATCATTATCGTC